CAGGGGGTTCCACAGGGTGATGTCCTTTCCCCGCTACTGTTTAACTTATATATTTCAAAGCTCCCCCAACGACCAGAGGGAGTCTCGATTGTCTCTTACGCCTATCTTGCTCGATCATGGCGACTGGGAATGGAATTCATGACTTTTGTTCGAAAGTAAACTGGTATCCCTCCGAGCTTTCTCGCTTCTTCACTGCGAAGTGCCTAGCCCTCTCCCCTACGAAATCCTCTGCGACCTTGTTCACCACCTGGACGAAGGAGGTCAGGCTACCGCTGGGAATTCACGATACACCATATACACCAATTCCGACGGTGAATAACCCCAAAAGACTCGGAGTAATATTCGACGGTCTGCTCTCCTTCTCTGCGCACGCAACCGCTATTGTCAATAAAGTACAGAGCCGCAACAAGGTCCTCAAGTCGCTAGCCGGCAGTACTTGGGGCAAAGGCAAAGAAACGTTGCTGGCAACATACAATTCAATAGGCCGGCCGGTTTTAAATTACGCAACACCAGTGTGGTCGCCGGGGACTAGTAAGACGCAGTGGACGAAGCTACAGACAGTACAGAACACCGCACTCAGGATAGCGACTGGATGCCTCCTGATGTCGCCAGAACACCACCTTCATAACGAGGCACAAATGCTCCCAATCAAGGAGAATAACATAATGCTCTGCAAGCAGTATTTGATTGGGAGCCACCGATGTGGCCACCCAAACAGACCGCTGCTTGCAAAGGAGCCCTCGCCTAGGCCCGTCAGGAGGCATCTATACGAACTGACGGACGAAATCCAGAGGTTCATCAAGCAGCCTCTGGACCCGTCAGCATACCGAATGGCCCTGAACGGTATTCACGGAGACAAGAAAAACAATAGCCCAACTACAGCAGGTTAAACTCATACCTGAGTAGACTGAATGCGGATGTGCCAAATGAGTGTCCGGCATGAGGAGAGACCCCTCACGACTCGAAACATCTCTTCGCATGCCCGGAAATCCCTACAACCCTAACGGCATTGTCCCTGCGGACCGACCCTGTAGAGGCTGCATGCTTCCTAGGGCTGCCGTTAGTGGAACTTGACGGCAACGAGTGAGATATCAACCGATCTGGGCGGGGTTATTGTAGCCGCTACAACAACAACAACAACTCTGGGCGGTTTGGATCGGGGTAAGGAGGACGGGGCCATCGCCAGGGAAGACTGGAGGAAGTTGTCGTCGGCCTTATCAGGAGTTTTCATGAGGGTGGTCAGGGAGAACCCGGGGCCACCGCCGCGGTGCGAGAGTGCTGGTTGGCACCAGGGTATGTTTAGGAAGGTGGTGTACGCCGACGGGCGGTCGGCCTCGCTCTACAGGGCTGCAGTAGCGTTGATCGAGGAGGTGTGGAAGGGAGCCAGACTCGAAAGCCTCGCCGAAAAACGGAGTAATTTACTTTAGCTTCGAGAAGATAGTCATGAAGGTCTACAAGACTGACTCCAGGGGAGAGGACGAGCCTGTTCCGGTTGCGCTGGCGGGCATAAACACGAATGCGGAGGATGCCCCGTAGGTATGGAGGTCGAATCCGTCATGTCGGACAGTGACAGCATTGCTAGCCCTCCTTCTGCTGCGGGATCGGTCATTTCTGTTGGCCCGCTGTTCGACAGGGCGGAGGAGGAAATGCTCCTTGTGTCCGATGGGGATGGCGCCTGCGGAGGCCTGCTGGAGAGGATTTCGGAGAATGAATATTTTTCAGATCAATCTTCAGCACTCTTAGGCGGCGTCAGCCAACCTCTTAATCCGCCTTGAGAAAGGTGGAGTTGATGTAGTCCTGATCCAGGAGCCGTGGCTGAGCAGTTGCAATACGGTTTCTGGTATCGGGACGAGGGACTACAGACTGGTGGCGCAGCGGGACGCAGGTAGACCTCGATCCTACATGCTCATCATTTGCTTTTATTCTGCATCTTTTCAGCGATCGTGACATTGTGACGGTGAGCCTGGAGGGTGCAACCGGTGAACTCTGGTTGATCTCCGCTTATATGGCGCACGAGGACGGAGTGGAGCCACCTCCGCGCTTAATAAGGAATGCGGTGGCAGAAGCTAGACGCAGGAGGGCCGCGTTGTTATTGTGTGTGACACGAATTCCCACCATACGATTTGGGGCATCTCAGACATCAACACTAGAGGTGAGTCACTCTTTAACTCTATTCTAAATGAAAATGTATGTATATGTAATAGGGGGAGCGACCCCACTTTTGTAACGGCAAGTAGAGAAGAGGTTTTAGATATCCCTCTGGCCTCTTCTGATATAATGTCCCGTATATCTGCCTGGAGAGTCATTAGTGACCACTCCTCCGATCATCGGTACATACGATTTGCTATGGACGAAGAGCGTCCTAAGTACGAACCTTACTGGAATCTGAGGAGAACCAACTGGGACTCTGTAAAAAACGCCTTTGCGCACTATGAAAGTGTATGTATACATGTTGCGGAAACAAAATCATTTTTCTGACCAAAAATTTGTATCTACGGTATACACTAGTGCTATGGTGCGAAACTTCACTAACCCTACGGTTCGATAAAGCAGAGGTGAGCATGAGTGTGTGGATGTGTGATCCTGTCAAAAGGGAGCTTTGAAAGATACATGAATAGTCGAAGATTGAGCCGTTCGTTTTGGCCTACACTTTCATCTATAAAAGGCCCATGTTGAAGTCAACAACGGCACAATTATAAAGTTGCGGTGCGCGGTTACAGTGTGCGTTGAGTGCGGTCTTTTTATAACCGATCAAACAAAAAAAAAGCTAAAGTGAAAAAAAGTTTAACAAAAATAAGGGGGAGCAGTTTGCCGATCGTCCGAATAAAACCGCCAGCTAAACGGATCCTGGGTTATACCCGTGCACCATACAAACACCAGAGTGTGAGGTAAGTCCAAGTTTCATGACATAAAGTTTATATGTACATACGTGGGTGAATCTATGCACCACTGCCTTGCAAAAGATGAGGAATATGAGGCCTGCAATCTTTTCCCAAACTTGCAACGTGAGGGTGCATATAGTTATTCATGCCCGCTGGGGCGGCTATCTGTCCATCCACATACCTACATACATATGTACATTTATGTGTGTTGGCATGTGTGTATATACGCGGATATGCACTAACAGACTTATACACAAAATAAGTAAATAACAAAGTTTTGATGGGTCGAATATTGTGTGTTGCAGGTCACCAGGACGAAAAGGGTAAAGNTATGCACTAACAGACTTATACACAAAATAAGTAAATAACAAAGTTTTGATGGGTCGAATATTGTGTGTTGCAGGTCGCCAGGACGAAAAGGGTAAAATGACCTCCTTCTGGGTGGGGCCAAGCCGTACCCACTACTTTTTATTTGCCGGAGTTGCGTCGAGTAGAGCGTAGCCACCCACACACACACACAGCGCACCAGGATCAGCGTCATCAACTTGTCCTGCAAAAGCACTCACACAAGCATACTTGGCGTGCAACATCGACGTTCAACACCGGCGACCTGATCGAGTAGCACCAACACCGTACATAATTACAACCCAACGACCAACAGCTGTTTCATTTATATAAGCCCACGGAGGGTCAACGCTCGCCTTCACATAGGAAGATACGCAAAAGTACATGCACACAACTGAGGGACCTGCATATGTATGCGAATATCTATGCATACATAGCTGAATCTCGCGGAGCGGTAGTGCGGACTGCACTGGAAGATTAATATTTTTGGAAAGATTTGTCATCAGCGAGGGAGAGAGCCATAAGCAGCAAGAACGAGGGCAGCATAAGGGAACAGGCGATAAGCCCAACGAGACTCGACGTCGACTGCGTCAACGCCGCCGTCCAACACCAGCGCCGCCTGGAGCTAGGGGGGATTTTTGCCCCACGTGTTTTTTTTGCATACATATTTAATTATTGAGTTATCGTAGTTTTCTTTGTAAGTTTATAAAGTTGATTTCGAAAGTAGGTATGTGCTGATGGTATTCACCTCGAATTTCGGTTGCGCTAGTAGGTCTTTTTGTATTAATTTAACAATAAATTTTGGGATCTTTTATCTTCCACATTTTCTTATTTCATTTCTTATTTCCACATTTTTTTTCTTGGTACTAGTTGAACGAGAAACGTCTGTCGTTTAACACCTTGCAACGTATATGTTTATTACCTGAATTAATGCGAATTTTCTTCAACAATTGAATTACTCAAACTTTGTAAACATATTTTCCTTCATTGAATTGTTAATTCTAAAAGTTAGATCATTTCAAAATTGTTAGCACTAAACTTGAGTTATTCAAAAATGTTAAACCTTGTATTCTTATGCCTTGAATTGTTAAATTTGAATTTACATGTTTTGTGCTATTCAAATTAATACCCTCTATATTTTCTCATATTGAATTGATAAGAATTGTTAACCCTAAACCTAAAGAAATTTTCATATTGAAATGCATAGTTGGCAACGCCAAAGTCGTTAATACAGTGCAAGCAGCAAATGTCAAAAAGAGAAACAAAAAATTAGATACAGAATTTTTCCAATCACCTTTACGTGCGGTCGCAAAATCTTTTCTAAAATTCGAATAACCTTTTATAGCTTGTTTTAATAAAGAAAAATTGTAAATTTAAAGCATAAACATTCAGTTTATTATTTCGAGTGGTCATATTAGTCTCTCGGCGAGTAACTACAGGCGCGCGGAAGAAAATCCACCTCTTAGTATTTTTCGCTTTGAAAGTCGCTGGTGTATGCGCCAGGAAGCAGCCGCGAACTAGCGCCTGCGCCATGTCCTCCTACACGGAAGTGCAGCAGCCCCACCACCGCAAGTACCACCCCAATTTCGATTATCGTCACCATCCGTCATCAAAGAGCCGCCGAAATCACCGCCAAACCCTCCACTATCGCCAAATCCACCATCAGCGCCGGAGTCAACTAACCCTGCGGTGAAACAAAAATTTTAAAAAGGCAGAAAGTAATTCCTTGTATGTTTAGTAAACGCCAGCTTTAAGTAATACATTNCGCCCACCAGCCCTCCATCTGTCCACGTCCGGAGTTCAGCACCCAAAAGAAGAGCCGGCCCCCTTACTATTGGTCCTTCGGCGCCAACAGAGGCCGCACCGGTGGAATAAAAATCCATAACCTCAAAGTACAAGTATCTCCAGCAAAACCGTGAGTAAAAATCAATTTTTTACTAACCCTGCGGTGAAACAAAGATATTAAAAAAGGCAGAAAATAATTCCTTGTATGGTTAGTAAGCGCCAGCATTAAGTCATACATTTTCCCTTGCTCGGGCCATAAATTTTCAATTTTCCCGCCATATTTTCATTTTTCCCGCCAATTTTACCTTTTTTGCGCCAATTTTCACGAATTTTTTACCCACACAAAGACTTTTGCAAGAATACATATACATATGTACTTCACATAACATTCTGTAGCATACAAGCAAATAGTACTTGGCGTACATATATATATACACATATACCAAAGCTCATAGTATATACAGCGGCTAATCAGTTAATCCCAAACAAACATACAAGGAATTATAGCTGGGAATACATAACTAACCCCTCGTTTAGTAATCCCTATATATATATATATATACACATACATTCATACACATACCCAACTACGTATTGGGCATATAAAAGAAAGTGCGGTACAAAGTAAATAAAATAACGTACAGTGAACTCCCTACAACAAATACCCATAAAAAAGGCAAGGCAGTTACAGTGCTCGAAAAGATAAAATACAGTCCATTAGATAGGTAATCATACATTTTGCGCTCAAATTATCTCCATTTGTGGTTTGCGTGAACAGGGTCAAGCGTTATTAGTTTTCCCACACTCTCTTGGTTTCCAGGCGCTCCCCTGTGATTAATTCAAACCGTATTATTTGCGACCGCACAGTAAAGCCCCGATTGTATTTGATCACCCCCACATCCCAACCTTAATTAGGTCCGCTCATTCGACTTCGAATGCTAGGTCTCACTAGCACTCAAGATAAGCCAAAAAGTCCCAGAATGAGCGAAGAAGAAAAAATTCTCGAGACCCCCGCGGAATCTCAGCGCTCTACGCGTACAAGCGGAAAGCCAAAAAAGGCAAAACAATCGGTCATATGTACTAAATTCATATCGGAGACAGATAATTTGATGGATTACTGCGCCCGATTCAGATCAGCCCCGATCGAAGAAAATACTGAGTCTGTACTGAAAATAAAAGACAAGAGCCTAGAAAACTTTTGGAATAGAGTTCAAAACGCCTTTGATTCGACTTTGGAAATTGAAGAACATGACCTCCCCGAAGACTTTAGAGCGTCTGCCTACAGTAAATATAGGTCATGTTTGATTATATATGAAGAAACAAAAGCCCAAATCGGAGACCAACTCCAGTTAGTAGCACAAACCACAAGTCCCACTCCCAAAGCCAGTACATCACTTCCTCAGGAAACTTCAGGCATAAGCTTAAACGTCCCACCTTGCGACACCGAAACCTTTTATGGGGGTTATGAGCAATGGCCGTCCTTCCGTGATATGTTCACGGCGGTCTATATAAATCACCCTAAGCTCACTAAGGCGCAGAAGTTGTACCATCTCAGGTACAAAACGCAAGGAAAAGCTGCCCAAATAGTTAAACAATTCCCTCTGAGTGACGATAATTTCGAGCTGGCATGGGAAGCACTAAAAGCTCGCTATGAAAACAAAAGGGTTTTAGTAGATAACCAAATCCGCATCCTTATGAATCTAAAACCCATCCCAATAGAAAATAGCGAAGACATACAGAGACTGCAATCATCGGTGAATAACTGTCTCCAGATTCTAGGCACCCAGCAAGTCTCCACCGAAAGCTGGGATCCCATTCTGATCTACCTGGTTACCTCCAAGCTTCCTGAGAACACCGTGGCCCTATGGGAGCAGTCCCTCAGTTCCAGGAAAGACCTCCCGAACTGGTCCCAAATGAACCAGTTCCTCACTACTCGATACGAGGTGGTTGAAAGGGTAGATCAATTTCGTGCACCCAAACCTCCGCGGACTAATCCTTCGACAATAGGCTACTCGAGGCCAACCCCTCCTAACAGTAGGCCATTCCCTAAACCCCCCACCTCTCAGAACTCTCACAACAACTCCTTTTGCCAAATCCGAGCGCACATGACGGAACAACGCACAAAACCATACAAATGCCCAATGTGCAATAAACCTCAACACACTCTCTCTCAGTGCTCCAAATTTCGTCAACTGCCAACTCAGGATCGCAGAAAGTTTGTGAGAGAACACAACCTCTGTTTTAATTGCCTATGTCAGACCCACTTGATAAAAGACTGCTCAAGTAAATATACTTGCTCCCATTGTCAAGAACGGCATCACTCAATGCTTCATGAAGACACGCCCCCCATGCCTCCAAGACAGCAGTCTCGAACTCAAAGAACGACATCTCAGGTCGCTTTGACGACGCCCGCTAATTCCAACCCACAAAGTCCAGCTGGGTCGGCAACAAATCATGAGGAGCCTTCATGCTCAAACAGAGCAAGAGTACAGTCCTTCTACTCGGAAAATGAGAGCAAGATTCTCCTCCCAACAGCAATAGTTCCAGTTGAGCACAAGGGCGAGATCTTCAAGCTCAGAGCTCTCATAGATCAGGGTTCGGAACGAACTTTTATTTCCTCCAAAGCCCAAAATAAACTAAGGCTACCATACGAAGCTTCTAACTTTGAAATTTCTGGCATGGGAGGAAGAGTTGTTCAGACTTCGAACAAACTATGCAATCTCGTCTTAGCCTCCGCAGATTTGACCACGAAAATAAAGGCTCAAGCAATAGTCCTGCCACAGTTGACGAAAATGCTTCCCAAATTCCAGCCAACTCTCGAACAACGAGAAAAATGGTCTCACCTCCAGCTAGCAGATACTAACTGCCACTCCCCGTCCCAAATTGATCTGGTCATTGGCAGTGACCTCATTCCTGAAATAATGCTGGAAGGCATTGAGAAAATTTCCAAAAATCTGCTTGCACAAAACACCATATTCGGCTGGATCTTAAGTGGTCAGGTTCCCGAAAAAATAGCCTGTTTCTCCACTCAAGCTGCACCGATCTCCAATGAGGTTTTAGATTCCCAGCTGCGAAAGTTTTGGGAGCTAGAAGAGGTTCCGAAACCCAAGCTCACTTTGCCTGATGATGAAAACTGTGAAAAATTTTATCAGTCCACCACCACACGAGCAGCGGATGGTCGTTATGTAGTCAGACTGCCCTTTAAGCCAAGCTTCCCAGACCCTATCTCCCTTGGCCCGTCTCGCACCCCCGCCCTCCAACAGTGCCTGAGCATGGAAAGAAATTTGCTCAGAAAAGGCGATCTAAAATCACTTTACGAAAATGTATTAAACGAATATCTCACCCTCAACCATATGGAAGAAACAACTTCCCATGAGATATCTTCTCAAGGCAAATATTGGTCGTTCTACCTCCCACATCACGCGGTTATAAAACCCGAAAAAAGAACGACCAAAGTCCGAGTCGTCTTCAATGCTTCGAAGAAATCGGGGTCCGGACATTCCCTGAACGATGTTCTTTACACCGGACCAACCCTCCAGCCCGACTTGATGTTATTGATCCTCAAGTGGCGTATGTATCGATTTGTCTTCAACGGCGATGTCGAAAAAATGTATCGACAGATACTGCTACACAAAGACGACCAAGACTATCAACGAATCGTATTTCGACCATCTACAAATAGCCAAATACAAGATTATAAGTTGAAAACTGTCACGTTTGGTTTGAATTGCGCACCCTACCTCGCCATACGTACCCTTCACCAGCTCGCAGATGACGTGCAAACCACGTACCCCTTAGCGGTGCCCATATTAAACAATGAAACGTACGTTGATGATATACTTTCCGGTGGTCATGATCTCCCTTCAGCCGAAGAATCCCTCGCTCAAGTCATCCAAGCGCTCAATTCGGCAGGCTTCCCACTTAAAAAGATTACAGCCAACCACCCTGAAATTTTGAAAAACATCAACAAAGACGACCTGCTTGATACAAACTTCCTAGAATTTGAAACAACAAGCACCACTAAAACGCTCGGGATTCAGTGGAACGCTCTAACCGACACGTTTTCGTACACCGTTGATTCCATCCCAGCGTCATCCGCCAGTACAAAACGACAAATCCTCTCGGCAGTTGCCAAATTGTTTGACCCCGCAGGATGGCTTACGCCCATAATGATCCAAGCCAAAATCCTGCTACAAGAACTATGGCTGGACGGAACTGACTGGGATGACCAGGTCAAGCCCCTTCGTCTGACGAAATGGATGCAATTTGCAACCAATCTCCAAGCCATTTCTAGCATCCAAATATCCCGATGGGTAGATTTTGTCCCAGCCGACCAAGTCGAGCTACATGGCTTCTGCGACGCTTCCGAGAAAGCATACTGCGCTAACATATATGTGCGAACCACGAACGGTAGCAGGACCTCTTCTCATCTGCTGGTCTCCAAAGGCAAAGTAGCGCCTCTCCGAACCACCAGTTTACCCCGACTTGAATTGTGCGGCGCCCTTCTCCTAGCGAAGCTGGTCGCCGTAGTGCAGTCACAACTCGACCTATCTAAGAGGAAACTGACACTATGGTCTGACTCCGAGATCGTCTTGGCATGGCTAGAAAAACCCCCTCATTCATGGAAGACCTTCGTTTCCAATCGCACGGCACAAATTTTAGATCTCGTCGGAAACGCCACCTGGCGGCATGTGGGCAGCAGAGACAACCCCGCAGATCTGGGCACCAGAGGATGCAGACCCCTGGACTTAGCGGCCTCTTCGCTTTGGTGGCATGGACCGGAATGGCTATTAAGCCCACCCGAAGCCTGGCCAAAACCGGCCACCCGAAATATCTCCCCTCCAGAATTGCGCCGAGTCGAGGCATTACATGCCACAGAGGAAGATCACGATATCCTTGATCGCTTCTCCTCGTTTCCCCGCGCACTTAGAGTTATGGCGTATGTTTTTAAATTTATACAGTGTCTTCGAGACCGAGTCAGACAGGTTAGGTCAAATAATCCCATCTCTCTCTCCCATGATGACCTCCGTAATAGCAAATACAGGCTCCTAGCTTTGACCCAATCTCGCTACTTTCCTCGGGAAAAGGCCTGTTTAGCAAACTCCAAACCCATAGATAAACGGAGTCCTCTGCTTCCCCTCAACCCGTCTTTAGATAAAACCGAGTTGCTCCGCGTGAATGGTCGATTAGCTCACGCCACTTTGAGCTATAATGAAAGACATCCCATCATTATTCCCGAAAAATCCCGGTTCGCCATCCTATTCACACGCTTTCTGCACGAACTGCTCCTCCATGCAGAAACTCGTCTCATGCAGCAAGTCATAAGGCAGGAATTTTATATCGCTCGGCTTAAGCCCCTCATAAAAAAATCCATCTTCCAATGTAAAAGTTGCACGGTCCACAAGCAGCAAACGCGATTGCAGATAATGGCGGCCCTCCCCTCGGAACGATGCACGTATGCTCCGCCCTTTACTATTACGGGCGTAGATTTTGCTGGACCTTTCCAGATAAAGGCCTCAATGCTAAGATCGCACACGTTGGTGAAGGGCTATGTGGCTGTTTTTTTTATGTTTCCCTACAAAAGCAGTCCACCTCGAGCTGTGTTTNACGACGGGGTTATCCCGCTAAGATGATGAGCGACAATGGCAAAACCTTTGTAAGGGCCAAACGAGCAACCGAAAAGGAGTTCATCGAATTTCTGAAGGAGGTATCTCAAGATGTCATCCAGAAATACTCACCTCAAGGCATCAACTGGGAATTTATTCCGCCAGGAGCCCCCCACATGGGCGGTTTGTGGGAGTCCGCAGTCAAAAGTTTCAAAATGCATCTCAAAAGGGCTGCTGGACCCAGCAAATTCACATTTGAAGAGTTCACCACCCTGTTAGTCAGAACAGAGGCCCTATTAAACTCCCGGCCAATCTCTGCTCTATCCCAAGACCCCACAGACCTCACAGCGCTTACACTGGCCACTTTTTACGAGGCGCCCCCCTCCTAGCACTCCCTGAAGTCGTCCACAGCCATATGTCCCTCCTTAATAGGTGGGAAAAAGTGAAGGTGTTATATCAGGAGTTTAGTCGAAGGTGGAAAGAGGATTATATCAAGGATTTACTGAAGAGATATAGATGGAAAACTACCCAGGCAGAGCCGAAAGTCGGCGACTGCGTTCTTATTGTTGACAAT